AACAAAATTCCTCTGTGTATGTTGTATTGATGTATAGATAACATATCTGTACACTATTATGACACACACAAATGAATTACAATAAAGATGATTTTAAAATGGCAGTTTTGCTTCTTCCGTCAAAAGTTCCAAATTTACTGCCCAAAGTTACACTTGTTATTACAGACTCCATAAATTTGTTCTTAATACATAATCTAAATATTTGCATCTCTTATTCTGGATAACAGTTCAGAATTGCAAAACCCTTTGACATATCTCAGCAGCTGTTATTTATTCATTTTCTTTAATATTTCTTTTCCAGGGAGTATCTATTTTCACAGTCATTTAGACATCTGTCTACTTATCTTCAGTAAACTTGCAGATTTCAGAAATATACAATAAGGTGGAATTAATATTTGAGGAAAAAAGGTGAAGAGCTTGAAATTCTTATTTTGAAACATAGATTTTACTTAAGCTGATTAATATATCCTTTCCAACTTTTGCACTTCTTTCTGCACATTCATACTGGCATATGTGTTATTAGTGTGAGAATTCACTCCATAAATATGTTTGGTCATATGTTTATTTTTTTTCTAATTTAATATTTGAATTTAGAATGGTGAAATTTTGTTAGATTTCTCCTTTATTATCAGCCTTCTATCTTATTAAGCATACTGTTGTATAGGGTTTTTTACCTTTATTTCTCTGAGCTCTTATTTGGACCTCTATCGTTAGAAAAAAATCTATATAAATACATTAGTTTATTGTTGATAATCCATATGATCTCTATATTGTAGTTCACTAACCAAATCAACAGGAAAGAAACAGAAGGGGTAAAAAATTAATTCCAATGTGATAAGGCATAGGGGTGCTACAAAGGTCAGTTCTGAGTCCAGTTTTATTCACTATTTTCAATGAAGAATTAAATGATGAAATAGAGGCTAGGTTTATTGCCCTTGCAGATAAGCAACCATGAGGGAATGTATGAGCAACAAAGGGTGGAATTAGAATTCAATCTATATATACTGAAATGGTTGGAAAAAAAATTACAAAATTCCAAGAGAATGGTTTGAGAGGAGTAGCCAACTATAAAACGAAGGAAGAAGTTCTTCTGTTTGTTGAGTTGTGAACTAGATTATGAACTGAAGAAGAATCAACAAAGTCCCTCTTGTTGTGAAGCAGATAAACCGCACACTGGAATGTACAAAAAGGGAAACCCCTGCATAACAAGAAATGTACAGGAAAAGAACACTTTGTGCAACATTGTTATCATGCCCACTTCCCAGCACTGCGTTGCAAGAGATACACAGCAACTTGAGCTAATATAGGTGCAGACTGCAGAAATGGAGAAGCCTGGCAAACATGGAAGTTGTTGAAAGATTGGAAACATATTTTCACTGGTTTCAAGAAGAGTTAGTAACAAAAATCTTCAAGCACGTAAGAGTGTATGAATGGTGCATTCTCTACCTGTGCCACAAATTAGTAAATTAAATGAAACATTGAACTGATTACATTTAGATGTTGTTAAGACCACATCATCAAATGTCTTTAAGAAAAAATAGCTTTGTGTCTAAAGAATATTATTGATTCAGTTTGATCCCATCCTGGGCAATAAGAAAGGAAGAGAATATTTTTTTTATTATTTTTGTTTTTCACAGCTCTTACACAGAGCTCTTCTTTATTTGGGCAAAGGATGGGTCTGAGCACAAAGTTGGGTTGATTTTTTTTCATTTTTTTTGTCAGTTGTCTCATGTGTAGGCAGAAGAGATGGACCATGGAAATATCAGAGAAGAGTCTTGTTTATAGATGAAAAGCCAGAAACAAGAGGAATTTAGGCTGTGAACACAGCTTTGAAAGTGAAAAGAAACTTGGGCTTCACATAAAAAGGAAGAAGAAGCTTAGAAAATTAGGTACTTGGATGACATAGTAAACTGTCTTTGTGGTCTTCTCTGGTTTTTACTAATGCATCCCTTAACTAATGTAAATTTGCCACACAGAATCTTGTTGAGCTGATAAAGTGTTTCTCTATCAGTTCTCACAGCAGCTGTTTCTGTCTCTTTGATGCTATTACTCACATATTCCCTCTTGCCTTTTGTCATACAGCTTTTTACTTTTTTTTTTCTCTTTGTTTAAAACAGATTTATTGCTTCTTTTTCTGGGGGTGTTCTTGGGGAACCAATGTTTGCTTAGCTTTCTTAACACAGTTCTATATATTTTCATTTATCCACATTTCACATTAGTATACTTAGAAACTGGCAAGCTATTCTTGCCAGGAAATGTTAGCATTTAGTATTGATAGTAGCTTTCATAGGGTGCAGCACCTGGAAAGTGTTCCATTATCTTATTCTTGAATGTTGCTATGGTCTATTTGGGTTTTGTTGCTTATCTTCTGAGGAAAGGGTTGTGTATCTGTTTTCATATGTTTTTGTTTTCTATTTTGCTTTACATATGTTTCATAATTTGGTATCAACTTTTCCTTATGCTCCAAATTCTGTATTACAGACCATAATATTGGTAATCACATGGAAAATATCAACATATTTTAGCATGTCTTTATATGGAAATGAGTTCCATTAATCATGGAAACACAGTTCTACCACTTTTTCACTGTTTCTTTCTTTGAAAGACTTGGTAAAGAGCTGGCAGCTTCTGGTGCTATACAGACATGCTTCAGTATATTGCCAAAGTCTCTAGGTTTCTGTAGAGTTGCTCTCTTATCATTCCAGTTATAGGTTAGGTGCAGACACAGCTTTTTCTATTTGAAACTTCTAAATAACCAGTTAAATGGTTTTTAATGTATTAACTCTTTTTTTGCTTTTTAAAACGCAGTGCTGTCCTTTCCGAGAGACAGCTGTCCGACCTCACTGCATTACTGCTATCTTGTCTCATTAACTTTGAACTTTTTCTAAAGAATTCCTGGCCAGAAACTTCTGAGAGTTCTAAGAGCACTTTTACACACACACACACACACACACACATACACACACACACGCGCACGCATGCATGCACACGCACGCACACGCACTTTCTGACAGACATATCTACTTTTTGAAACTAGATAGTTTTGAAACTAGATATTAGGTCTCTAGTTTTTTTATGAACCACAGACCTAAGGCCACAGATTTTCTTACAGAAATTGAGACCTCAGAATCTTGATATCATTCAGGTTTGTAATAAAAAAATGTTTTTTCTGTCTACTTTCCTGTGTTTTTTGAAATTTACTTTAAGAAGTTAAGGAAGGTTTGTTTCTGTTTTTCACAGAAATATTTATTTTTTTATTTCTATTCCATCTCATGTATACCAAAGTATTTGAAAAAAAAAAACCCTGAAAAAACCCTGATGTTTAATAAGGTGCCAAATAAAGATATCTCTGAGTAAAAATCTGTTTCTGAAGTTGCCTTCAGAAACACAGCCCTTCTGTGAACATCATTACCTGACATTCCCCAGTTAAAAGTTGAGTGTTTTATTGCAAATCTCAACAACTGGTATTAAGTTTTTTCTTTCTGACACTTTTTTTTTTTTTTTGTAGAAGTTTTATGTCCTAAGTGTGAAGGCTGTTTCTTCAGAATGTAGCCTTGTATACTTTAACATTTAAAGAAAGATGGGCTGAATAATTCTGGGGTTGAATTACATGGCTTTATCTGAGCTGTCAGGCTTTTGATTCTGCAGTTTGCTGATTGATTCTTTACCTCATTAACATCCCTGGCAACATTTTCATTGATACCAGCAGATACTGCATGCATAGGCTGTGTGAAATTCAAGTGTGTATTTTTGTGCTTTCTATGTCAGGTTCATACTTTCTGCAAACATCTCTTATCACTAAATTCTGCATGGGCTTACTGAGGTTTCACAGTTCATGTTCTGACCTGCAAAAAAATTAATATTCTGTTTCTGCTTTTGTTTCCATGTCTGTGTATTTTCACGTGCACATTCTAAGCATCTTGGTGTTGCTCTTGCTGCCAATCAGACCTCAAGCTCACTCCATAAGAAAGGCTAAGAATCAGGCCATGCTGAACTCTGTTAAAAGAAAAGACAAATGATGACTACAAGGAGAATTGCCAACACTGGGAAATCAAGCTGTCATATTGGAAACAAACAAAGAAAACTGGGTAGGATGAGGGCTAAAGTACAAGACAAGTGGCATTCCTTTTTCTTATCTTAAAATCTTACTGGACAGGGCAGAAAAAAAGCCTGAGTGACTATATTTCAAATTATTCCAGTTAACAGAGATTTTACAGGCAATATTTACAGGCTCCTTGGGCATTTTGACTTTTTTAATAAATATTTTTATGAAGTGTTTTTATATATTTAGACTTTTTCAGAGAGACATTTTTGCTCTTTTACAGAAGTATGCAACTATTAATCAATAAATAATCTTGTGATTAGAGGACAGGAAGCAGCTCATAAAATGTTAGACCAGCTGCTTGATAGCCTGGCGCTGTGGGCAGCTGGCAAGGAAGCTTTTAATCTCTTGGCTATTGAAAGAGATGGTGCCAAGTAGAAAACTACAGACATGGGTTGCTCAAGGTGCTGGCACTGACTTTTGCCCTGGCAGGGAGAAGGGGGAGCAAGGGCTTTCCTGGGCAATCTCCAGAGCAGCGACTCCAGCCTGAGCTTGGTAGCAAAGGTATTTCACATCCTTCGATGTGACACCTGCTGGAAATGAAGGTAAGACAAATCCCTTGGGGAGCAGGTGTTGGGAAAAACTTGCAACTGGCAAAGCCAAAATCTAAAACCAAATAAAAGCAAAACAAAAGGCATGGGGAAACCCAGCCTAGAGTGAAAGAAGTGACATTTGCCCTGTGATCTGTGGAGTTTTACTTCTCTAATGATGCAGCTGATGCTCATTGTTACATCATCTTTACTTTGCAGTTCCAGCATGATGCTGCACTTCCATTTTGGTATCAAAATAACTGAGGAACCATGCAGGTTTAGTATTTTAAAGCAGCAGTGGCCACATCCCATGCCCTGCCCCTGAGGTGTGGGTCTAGCTGTGGAGGCCCTGAGGCTGCCGCTGATGGGGGCTGCTGTGCTCTTTCCAGGAGTGCTTTGTGTGTCGTGAGAGCGGGGCCACCATCACCTGCCAGGAGATGGTCTGCGACCTCAGCTTCCATCTCCCCTGTGCCATGGAGGGTGAATGCATCACCCATTACATCCCACCGCACAGGTATCTCCTCCCTCTCCTCGCTGTCACCAGGGAAGAACCCAGTGCCACTCAACTCGCCCATCTTTTTCCTTCTTCCCCTAGCTGCTATTGCTGCGAGCACCGCCCACAGCAGCAGAAGGAGGTGGCTCCAGAGAACACCACCTGCCTCACCTGCCTGAACCCTGTTGTTGGCAGAACAACCTACAGGACCATGGTGTGCCCAGTGTGCAAACATGCCTGGTTCCACAGGGCCTGCATCCAGGTAGGAGACGTTCCCTCGCCCCAGGCACGCAGCCTTTCAGCAGCACCAGAGCCTCACTCATGCTCCTTGTGTTTCTCCTGCAGAGACAGGCTCTTAGTGCCGGCCTTTCTTGCTTAGGGTGCCCTCTCTGTAGAAACAGGAATATATTTCTCATGGAAATGCTCTTCATGGGGATCCAAATCCCCGTCAGGTTGGTGTCATCCTGCCCGGCACTGTGCCACGCCTGCACCTGCTGCATCTGAATCTGCTGCATCTGGTGCATCTGCCCTGTATCTGCCCAGCATCTGTTGTCTGCCGGGGCAGCAGGGGCTCATTAATTTTCTTTTCTCCATCAGAGAAGCGTCATGGGAGCACAACAGTGCATACGCGCCACTGCACCAGAGGCACAGCAGCTGCAATGCCGGGGAGTGCCTTTGTCCAGGAGGCAGGGAGGAGGCAGAGCCAGAGGGGTAAGTTGCCAAAGCTGCACCCTGAGGCTCGGGATGGGATCTCTGTCTCAGGAAGGGCTGGAAGCAGAAGGGCTGAGAATAAGAGCACTACTGGACGATCCCATGCTCTGGGCGCTTCATCCTCAGAACCATGACCGAGTTTCTTTCCCCAGGCCCTGGCAGCTGCTCCTGTGCCACTCCTGCGCTGCTGAGGGCACGCACAGACGCTGCGCCAACTTGGAGAACAGCAGCGAGAGATGGGAGTGTGACAGCTGTGCTGGCGTGGGCACCTGTAAGTGTCAAAGCACCTGGATGTGCCGGGGATAGGGGCCCTGCAAGGCCTGGAAATGGGTGGCTGTTGTGGGCTTGGCTCCAGGAAGGGCTGGCACACGGCTCTGGCCTATCCTGCCCCAGGCCTGGGAGCCCTACCCTTGACCTTCCTTCTTCCCCTTGCAGCCTCCAGAGTCAGCTCAGAGCTTGCTGGTCCCAGCAGCAGCACCCCAGCAGCATCGGGGCAGACTCTGGGACCTCCAGCACAGGAGACCATCAGCCCAAGCACTAGCAGACAGTTGGAATTGGGGCCATTCCGTGGCTTGCCAGCGCCTGAGCACAGCAGCCGCTCCAGCCCCCCTGGGCCTCAGCAATGACGGAACCAAACCCGGTGTGACCGTCAGACCTGGGCTCCCTATACACGACCAACAAGAAAGCGAGAGAGAAGACAAGCAGCGAGCAGCACCCACAGCCAGGCAGTGCCGGGGCTGTCCCGATGACCCCCAGCATGTGAGACCCGCAGCCCCAGCACTGCTGAGCAGCAGCCATCGCCATCATCCCATGGCTCCAGAGCACACCAAAGAGGCAGCACCTCAAGATGCACGGGGCCTGTGCGGGTGCGAGACCGCTCCCGCTTGCAACATCGGGCCCAAACTCCCAACACGTGGGCCGGGTACCTCCATGGGACCAACCATGCTTCATCTCCGAGCGACAGCTCTGATCCCCCTCCATCGGCACAATAAAGGTGGCCCTTCATCTCTGGACTGGGAGATTGGAGGCTCATTGGTTGGCTTCCTCCTCCTCCGCTCCCTTTCTCGAAGGGCAGCTTCAGGGGCTGGGCCCAGAGCCTTGTCCTCTCTCTAGGGCTCAGCAGCACCTTCCCCACACCGACCTCCTCCACTCAGCAGCCAGTCTGGCCCTCATGGCTCGAGGCCAAAATCATGCGCCCTACTCCCAGCAACTTCTGACACGCCTCAGCTCTGTTCCCCTCTGGACAAGGCTATAAGCAACATCCTATCCTCACTGCCTATGTTAGTGAGAATGGTGGCAGAGGGGCAAAACTGCTGTTCTTTCAGAGTTCAGTTCAGTGTCACATCTGTGTTTGTGACATGAAGATTTTTGTCGACTGTGTTTCCACGGTATCCAAAGGGCATTGCCTGTTCCCCCATTCTGGGTTCTGTTCCCTAACATGATTGCTGCTGTGCCAGTGGAAGGCTTCCTTCTAGCGGTACGAGCCAAGAAATCCTCTTGACTAGAGATTGCAAACACCTGGTAAGGAATTTCCACCGCAAAGTCCAGGAGGGTCAGAGCGCTACCTGGTGTTGCGGGCTTGAGTCCCTCCGTGTGCCCTTTAGAGCAAAAATCCCCCACGTACTTCACAAGGAGAGTGACAGGGGCCCTGGGAAATGGCGGTCCTCTGAAAGGGTTGCCCCCGTCTTGGAGAGCAGTGAGTACCTTGGCAGTGCAGGCAGGAGGAAAGATGTGGTTGCAGAACCACTGCCAAGCAGCTGCTCTGTGGAAGCTGCAGGAGGGCTGGAAGGCTGAATCAAAGATTAATGGGGTACAAGGCATGAAGGAAATCCCACAGGGTGATTGTACAGGTTCAAACAGCCCTTTGCTCTTCAGGCAAACTGCAGGTGGTCTTACAGGTGCTGTGCACCCCAAGTGCCTTCCTGATAGGTCTTCATGCAGCTTGAAAACTGATTCAGTGGAGTAGGTGGCAGCGTCCTCTCTGAGCAAGGCAGGGGAAGCTGGGAGGGAACCTGACGGGCTTTTGAGGAAGGGAAGGAGGTATTGAGGCAGTGAGGAAGGGAAGGAGGTATCGAGCGTGCAAAAGAGAACTCGGGGCCAGCACTTTGTCCCCCTCTTCTTGACTGCTGTGATTGGGAAGACGCGAGGTGTGGGCATGGTCGGAGCAGGTGGCGCTCTTCAGGGGAATTGCGCGGTGAGCTCCGAGGCACTCCCGAGCAGCAGTGCTCGAGTGGAGCTGACCAAAGGGCTGTGGCCATGCACAGCGTTGCTGTGAACCGAGGTCTTTGTTCCCTGGCACCGGTCAGCTCTGTAGGTGATGGAGCTCTCCAATGCCCGGGTGTCGGGAGGCCAAGCGAAATCTCAGGAAGCCTGGGGAGAAGGGAGCCCTGAGCACCAGAGTCTGGCCTGGAAGGTGGCTGGTAGAAAAGGGTGGCTGAGGACACTCTAAAGGCAGGAGCTGAAGGAAGCAGCCTGGGAAGCCTCTGGTCACTCTCAGCAGCGTCAGCCGGCTGGTACTGGAGGAAGGCTTCTGGGGGCTGAAGGTTCTCATCTTGGTCCTGAATTGCCTGGATTGGACCTGGATTCTCCAATAGGGGAAGTCACCTTCCTTTTCTCCTACTCTGGTTGTGCTCAAGACACGGTCCTGGTATCGCAGGTGAATTATTCAGAGAAGTCACCCACAGCGGGTTAATGAAAAGGGCTTTCAGCAAGATGAAGCAATGATCTAACTGTAGGGAAAGAATTTGATTTCACCTTTTTTTAATTACTGCAGAGCCCGACATAGCTGAAACAATAAAAGCTGTCAAAAGTCAAATGGCAAGAAGATCCAAGGTTTCCAAGACGGCAGTTCTGAGGGTGATGATGAACCAGAGGCATCAGAAAGCAAAAGGGACGAAGAAATGCAAGTTTTAGTTGTAGTTGTTGTCGGCTCAGTTGTGGTGGGTTAGGGTTAGGGTATGAGAATATTAATAACAGCACCTGACTCACGGGGAGACTGACATCTTCATTCCACCTCTCTGGACAAGTGCAGTCGTCCTTTGAAACCATTCCTTGCTGCACAGAATGAAGTAGTCAAGAATGCCAATACCACACATGATCGTTGAGAAGAAAAGCTGACTTTCTAGGGCAGTGAGGAGAGCTCAGCTGGGTAGTGGGTTTGGCCCAAAGTCAAATCGCATGTGGTGTTTTCTTCAGAAACGTTTTTTTATAGGAGGTTGTACTGGGTTACTGTGGTGTAGTGTCCTGCCCGAGATACTATTCCTTTGGAGCCTTACAGCCTTACAGCTTGGACTTGGGCTAATGGAATTTGACACTAACTCTTACGATGCTGAATTTCCTTTGTGTTTTTTCTAGTTTTTTCTCTTTACCACAGACAGAACGTGCTAGATCTTTCTTCTTCTCCAAAGATGATGAACGCCTAAGAGGTATAACATGACTTAGTCACCCTCTTTTTGCCAAGTTATCTTGATATTTTGGATCCATTCAGGCATATATCTGATACCTGATTGTCTTCAGTGTTTCTGATGTCCCTGTTAAAAATATTGACTCTGTATCGGTCACATATGCCCACAAGGTTTCTGATCCAAATTATTATGGGGTTTTTCTTGTTAATGTCATTCATTTCAAAGTGAAAACAAAAACCAAAAGAAAAACCCAGAAAAGAAAACCAAACAAGCCCTGAAGTTACAGAAATGAGCCTATGGGAGAGAGACCAGCGCTCATCCTGCATGTCAAGGATCTGAACAAATGTGCTGGGGAGATTTGTTGCCACTCTCAATCTCTGCCCTCCACACAATGCCCTTACGTGATGCTTAAGTGTCCTACAGTACTGAGTCAGTTACTTGTTTTGCCTGAGCGCTGCAGGGAGAAGCTGCTCAGTCCACGCAGTTCAAACCAAACTGGGATCAAAACACTTTACGGAGCTATCGAGAACATGGAATTAGGCAGCAGGCACTGAAGTGTTGCATTCTAGTAGTAATACCAGAGGTAAACCCCCAAGCTGGACACATGAATGTTACTAAACACAAGCAAATATCTAAGCACCCTGTGTAGGACGCAGAAGAGATTCCTGAAGTTCTTCTTCTTTTTCCCAAGAAGAAGACCTCACCTGCAGAAGCACAGCAGCAAACGCCACGTGGTGCATTGACAAGGAACAGTGAGGAAATCCTGTCTGCTCTTTGCGTTTTGGCAAAGTTCAAGCAGAAGGAACCAAAACCCCGTTCTTGCACCTCAGGGATCGCCACGCTCAAGGTCTAAGGTAAGCTAAAGTCTCTCCTAAGTTGAAAGTGTAAGGTAATCTAAACTCTAAGCTAAACTCAAGTCTAAGATAACCAAAACTCTAAGCTAAGCTAAAGTCTAAGGTAAGATAAAGTCTAAGATAAGATGAAGTCTAAGGTAACCTAAAATCTAAGCGAAGGTATAGTCTAAGCTAAATTGCATTATAAGCTAAGGTAAAGTCTAAGCTGACCTAAAGTCCAAGCAAAGCTAAAGTCTAAGCTAAGCTAAAGACTACGCTAACTTAAAGTCTAAGCTAAAATAAAACCTAAGGTAACCAAAAGTCCAAGGTAGCCAAAAGTCTAAGGTAATCAAAACTCCAAGGTAAACAAAACTGGAAGGTAACCGGAAGTCCAAGGTAACCAAAAGATCAAGGTAACCAAAGCTCCAAGATAAGCAAAAGACCAAGGTGCCTAAAAGTCCATGGTAACCAAATGTCCAAGTTAACCAAAAGCCTAAGGTAAACAAATGTCCAAGGTAACCAAAACTCCAAGTTAACCAAAAGTCCAAGGTTAACCAGAAGTGCAAGGTAACCAAAAGTCCAAAGGAAACAAATGTCTAAGGTAACCAAAAGTCCAAGGTAACAAAAAGCCAAGGTAAGCAAAAGTCCAAGTTAACCAAAAATCAAAGGTAAACATAAGTACAAGGTAAATAAAAGTATAAGGTAATCAAAAGTCTAAGATATCAAAAGGTCTAAGGTAACCAAAAGTCTAAGGTAATAAAATTCTAAGGTAACAAAAAGTCTAAGGTAACCAAAAGACCAAGGTAACCAAAGGTCCAAGGTAATCAAAAGACCAAGGTAACCAAAAGTCTAAGGTAAACAAAACTCCATGGTAAACAGAAGTCCAAGGTAACCAAAAGCCTAATGTAAACAAAATTCCAAGGTAAGAAATGTCTATGTTAACCAAATGCCCAAAGTAACCAAAGCTCCTAGGTAACCAAAAGTCAATGTAAACAAAAGTCTAAGGAAATGAAATGTCAAAGCTACGCTGAAGTCCCGCTACGCTCTATGTGTAAGGTAACCTAAACTC